CAGAAATCTCACACCTTACGTGCCTCCATTCTGAAGCTTAGTGTCTCCCAAAATGTCACCTTCTCTTCTCCTCCATTTTGTGAACCTTGAAGCCATTTTCTTCATAGAATCCCCACCAAAACACTTTGGGGTAGTGTGAATAGCATTGTGAGTGAGTAAGGCTTCTCATTTCTGAGCTTACAGATGTTGTGAGTGGGTGTTTGGGGGCTGACTTCCATGGTTTGAGTGGTTGAAGTCATTTCTTTGTGGTTGATTCTTCAAGAAGTTATCTTGTGAAAGAAAGAACCAAACTTTGAGTGTCATTTTCGTGGCCCTAGTGTGTATGTACCTTGAGGCTGATTGGTGAGCTCCAAGAGCATCTTCTTCCTCTGTTTTGAGCCTTGGGTAAGTTCACCTACCTTGATCATGAGTTTTAATGGGTTAAAGCTTGAGCCTTGACATGTTTAATAAGCTAAACTAGTAACCAACACATATATGAACCTATAGATGCTTAAAAATGGGTTCTTGGACGTTTAGAAGTGTTAAAAACACAACCTTTAAATGCAGAATCTGCATTCTGTCGCGAAATATCCGGATATGAAATTCAGATATTGGTATCCGGATATGGGGTCTTGTGATATCCGGATATGCATATCCAGATATGTGATATCCGGATATGTCCCCGACAAATATTCGGATATTCTGGATTTACGTGAACAGTAATGGTACTGTTCATACAGAATGACGTTATGGATTTGTGGACCCTAGATTGATGAAGTGGGACTTCTGTAATAAATAACCTAAGTCAGAATCTAAGTGATTAAGGGCTTGTGGCTTTGTGAGAAGCCTAAAGACATGAAACGTAAAAGAGAGGCGTTGTCTTTATGTCATATGCTTGTATGTTTCAATATTGATATGATTTCTGGTCCAAAACAGATTGTGATTCTGCGGTGTTTGGACTTGAGCTTGTATGGACTCTTGGCTTGGATAGCTAGCTTGCACGATAAGCTTTTGTGTCCTCGGTTTAGTCATTGTTTGTTCCACCATATCCCATGGGGGGATGGTGTATATGCATGATGTGTTTACATGCTTTGATAATTGCAAATGTTGTTGAGCTTTATGTGCAATGACTTGTAATATGTATGTGTTGTTCCACTTTGACGGTAAGCCTAAGTATGTGGCGTCATACAAGACGATGACACTGTGGGTGGGTGCAAGTGGCGTCTTGCATTGGAGTGGGTAATAGACGTATTCTTGTATTTCTCTGGCCAGTAGATTAGTTATAACACACATGACATGATTATCTGTTGCATTGCACTGGTTTTGGAACTGATATTGAATTACTGCTTTTAGAACTTATATTGCACATTTAAGTGAGCTTGGGGTGGAAGATCCTTGAGGACCCATTGTCTTACTGAGATTTCTGTTTAGAGATCTCACCCCACGTTTGGGGTACATATTTCAGGTTCAGGTAATGAAAGGGTTGAGACCTCTAGTGGCAGGAGGCCGGAGCTTAGCTGATATTTCAGCTTATGCTGTTTAATTTTGGATGCTGGATGATATTTGTTGCTATTATGTTATTAGTTTCATGTTATGGATCTTTGAGCTGAGACTCTGTTGATTATGTTGCTATTTGGTGAGCATGGCGATTGTCCATGCCACATTGACTTGACTTTATGTTTTTAGTTCAGAGTTGTATTAATGTATCAGGATATTGTCCGGACTACGTGTTGTAGATCCGTGACTTAGATACTCACTTATTTATCTATTGAGGTATTTCAGTTACCTGTCTTTTGCATTTACATACAGGCAATATTTTGGAAATGAATTAAGTAATTCAACTTGGTAATGATAATGACGTCATAATTGAAAGGAAAAAGAATATTTCACATTTTTAATTAAGTGTGGCTTAATACGATGGCATGTTAACAAACCGGGTATACACGGGGTGTTACATTTTATGGTATCAGAGCACTTTCTAGGAAAAAGCCTGTATGTATTGATATAATTTAGGATGTTTTGTTGAGAGTCGTGTCTGTGTGTTCTCTCTATTGGGTTTTGCTATGATAATGCATGTGTGACCACACTGTGTGGGCCTGATCAACTCATTCTTTGTGTAACTTGTGCAGAGTCATGGTACTATCTCGGAGGAACCGAGACACTAGCGGGGATCAACCAGATCCTGTCCTGGCTGCATTGGCTGAGATGCAGGCGGCTTGACAAGCCGACCATGAGGCCATGAGAATGGTAAACCAGGCTATGTTGGACGCCGTCAGAGAGGCGAGCAGGAAAGTCACTGAGGATGTATTGGAGGCTAACCGCCTGGCGAACATGACTATGATGAGGGTCATGTTGGAGGAGATGAGGGCTGGTCCTGCTGTTGGTCAGTTCCCTCCGCCACCACCTCCATCGCCACCACCACCTCAACCTCCACCTTGCCTTCAGGATGATAGCCAGAGTCATGTTGAGGGTACTGGTCAACTCACTGGGGTGATGGAACCCTATGTGGAGCCTGCTGAAGACCGGGATGTGATTGATCGCCGGCTTAATGCTTTTCGCAAGCATAAGCCACCTACCTTTGATGGGTCTTATGATCCTATTTCTGCGGCGAGATGGCTACAGGCGTTGGACAAGATCTTCCGGGTCATGTAGTGTACTGATCCGCAGAAGCTGATGTTCGCCACGTATATGCTGGAGAGAAATGCCCATGAGTGGTGGATGAACAGCTCTCATGCTTTTGAGATGCAGGGTCATGTTATGACATGGCCATTCTTCGAGGATTGCTTTCTGGGTCAGTACTTCCCTTATGATGTGCAGGAGAGGAAGCAGGGGGAGTTCGACAGGTTGGTGCAGGGCTCGTTGTCTGTTGATGAGTACCTAGCAAAGTTTAATGAGCTGGTGAAATTTTCACACTTTCGGATGGCTATGCCTACTCCGACCTTTTTGGCTGCTAAGTTCCGTAGGGGACTTAGCGAGGAGATAGTTGTTCCTTTTGCTGGAGCGGCTTCGAGAGATTTTGGGACACTGGTGCAGCACTGTCGGGACATCGAGGATGTCTGCATTACGAGTAAGGCCAAGAGGGCCAAGATTGCTGAGACCAAGGGAACTGGTAGTTCCACTTCCTGGAGGGACAAGAAGTATACTGGTAAGGGAAAAGGGAAGCAGTTGGCGGCTAGGAAAGCGCCAAATCAGCTCAAGAAGACTTCTTCACAACAAGGAGGTTTTGCTAGGCCTCCTTCCACTCCTAGGTGTTCGGGTGTGGAAAGGAGCATGCAGGATGTTGTGCTACGGGGCAGCTGATCTGTTTTCACTGTGGCAATGAGGGCCACTATTCTAGAGATTGTCCGTAGTCGACGGCGCGAGCTGCAGCAGTTCAGGCAGTTCCTTTACAGATGGTTCCCCTTCCACCTACAGCGGCACCTGTTGTGCCACCTGTTACTGGACGTGTGTACACGTTGGATCGCCAGCAGTCGGACCGAGCTCCGAACCTTGTAAGAGGTACTATCTCCATTGGTGGATCTTCTATCAATGTATTGTTAGACTCCGGGGCTACGCATTCCTTCATTGCTAGCCCGATTGCTGTGGGGCTTGAGTTGCCCATGTCTGTGCTTTCTCCACCGTTGCGGGTTACCACCGCCACCAGAGAAAAGTTTGATTCTACCACTGTTCATCGAGATGTCGTGTTCCAGTGGGATGGCCGTGATTACTCGGTAGATCTAATTGGATTGTCGATGGCCAATTTGGAGATTATTCTGGGTATGGATTGGTTGTCCAGAAATTATGTGTGATAAACCCTTGGTTCATCAGGTTTTTAAGCATGAATTAATATCAATTTGTATGAATAAATGGATGGAAAAGAGGTTAATGTCCTGGAAATCTCTCAAATACAAGTTCTGAAGCATATGTTGAAAATTTACATTGTTTTTGTAGGAAAATGAAGCTCAAGGATCAACAGAGAGAAAGAAGAAGATTCTGAAGAAAAGGAGAATGCTCAAGTGTTGAGCGCTAAAACGTCCACACAGAACGTTTTAGTGCACTGCTGCAAACTGAAGACAAAAGTTGCTGGTGTTAGGCGCTAAAACGTCCAACACTAACGTTTTAGCGCGCTGCTGTTGGAAAAGTTTCTGGTCTTGGGCGCTAAAACCTCCAAGTCAAACATTTTAGCGTTGGAATCAGTTAAAAGTAGTAGGGCATCCGTCAAACATGGACGCTAAAATGCCCATCAATGAACGTTTTAGCGCCCATGGCAATTTTCAGTTGTATTTTGTAACTCTATAAAAGGCAAGGGCCTTCACAACCCATCTATCATATCATATATCTCATATCTGAAAGTAACTGGCCTTGAAGGTCGTAGCATGTGAGAGGGAAAAACAAAATTTTTCTTATGCGGAATCACACATACAATCAAGAATCATGCTTTATGACAATATGATGTTACCTTTGTTTGTGAGTTCAAAAATCCAAGACGATCAGTGTTAGGTTTCGTAACAACCCAAAAATCATGTACTTGAAATTAGCCTAATGAAATGGAATCAAAGGGCAAAGCCCATATTCAGTGAACGATTATCCTTGAAAAAGCAAAGTTAGTCTTGAGTTAGAACGACCTTGAACCCACTCTAACTAAGATAAGTAATAGAGGAAACTTCGATTGGGATCGGGATCGGGATCCAAAGTTAGTCCCCGAAAGTATAATCAGCGATCGGGATCCTAAGTTCACATCCCGATTCTGGTCTTCATTGCAACAGGCGTTCGGGACCCAACTACGATTGAGCACGGCGTATCACCCCCAGACCGATGGACAAACTGAGAGGACAATACAAACACTCGAGAACATGTTACGGGCCTGCGCTTTAGAGAAGGAAGGCTATTGGGATCAGAACCTGCCATTGGCAGAATTCTCTTACAATAACAATCATCATGCCAGTATCGGTATGGCCCCGTAAGAAGCACTTTATGGAAGAAGGTGTCGTACACCTATATGCGGGGAAGAAGTTGGTGACAGAGAGTTGTTTGGACCAGATATGATCAGGGAAACGACAGAGCAGATCAAGATGATCCGAGATAGGCTACGGAAAGCCCAAGATCGACAGAAAAGTTACTATGACTTGAGGCACCGACCCCTAGAATTTGAAGTAGAGGATCATGTATTCATCAAACTCTCCCCTGTTACTGGTGTTGGCAGATCTCTTGGTGTAAGGAAGTTAAGTCCACGATATATCGGTCCCTATCAGATTCTGAAAAGGGTAGGACCGGTAGCCTATCAGTTAGCATTACCACCCAATCTGGCAAACCTTCACGATGTATTCCATGAAAGCCAGTTGAAGAAGTATTTGGCGGATCCCTCCCATGTTGTATTACCGGATATTGTGGAAGTAAGACCCAACTTGAAGATTCCCGTGGTACCGTACAAGATTCTAGACAAAGAAGAGAAGCGACTTCGCAGCAAAGTGATACCAATGGTAAAGGTGCAATGGCAAGGAAGAACTCCCGAAGAAGAAACCTGGGAGCGATTAGACGAGTTCCAACAGAAGTATCCTGACTTAGAATAATTGTAATTTTCGGGATGAAAATTTTATTATGTAGGGTGGATGTAACAACCCAAAAATCATGTACTCGAAATTAGCCTAATGAAATGGAATCAAAGGGCAAAAACCATATTCAGTGAATGATTATCCTTGAAAAAGAAAAGTTAGTCTTGAGTTAGAACGACCTTGAACCCACTCTAACTAAGATAAGTAATAACCCAACTCAATGTGGTTTAAAGCCCAAACAACGTCATAGCCCAACCTACTTAAGAATGTAAACAAGAAGATCAATTGAGAAAGAATTGAGCTCAAAGAAAATGCAAGCCCAATTTATTAATTGAATAAGACTTGACCCCAAATAGTATACATACAAGGATTTAAGCCCACAACACTTATACCCAAGTCTAAGCCCAATTGCTAGTGACCCAACCCTTATTAACCCAATGGGCCGAACCACTCACAAAGCCAACCCAAACTCAGCCCAACTAAGGGCAAGCCCAACCCAAATCCATGAACCAACCCTTGATGAGGTGTCATAACATAATTGGAAGAATTTGAATTGATCTCACCTCCCTCACATGTTAACTTCTGCCTTAGCAAGAAGAAAAAGGAAAGATTATACTTTCTACACTCCATAGGCGCTACATAAGGAAAGAAAGAATAAAATATGAGATTGTGTAAGATACACTCCAAGCCTTAACCTATGCATGTGACTTCCTTCTCTTGATCCAAACAAAAGCAACTCTCCTCTCCCCAACCCATCTTGGCCGACGCAAGCAAGGAAGAGAGAAAGAGGATTGCTTCTCCCACACTCCAAGCCATGCATGACACACTCGAAAGACCAAGAACTTTCTCTTCTCCCTAAGCACACGGCCACCAAGGAAGAATCACATGATCACACCTCCTTCTCTCCTCACATGGTTCGGCCAAACTCTCCAAGACAAGCAAGGAGATTACTTTCACTCAAACCCCTAACCAAGACCAAGTCAAATGCCAAGTGGATCACATGTAATGGTCACCCTAGGAGGTTGTAAGAACCATCACCTCTCCCCCTTGCATGTTCGGCCGCCCCTCTCAACTAAGACAAAGTAATTATCTTTCTCACACTCCACACTCATGCACCATACACCCACCAATGCATATGAGTAGCTTCCTTCACACTCACAAGTCATACTCTCAAGCACACCTAACCTAAACCCCTAGGCAAAATGATGACAAAGCTTGAATAAAAAGGATAGGCAAAGAGCTTATGATTTCCTATTGGGATCCCCATGTTATGTATTATGAAAGAATATGCACGTAGGGACTATTTACACAATTATCATCGTTTTGAACTTTAGATATATATTGTTGTGCTTACCACATAAAGTTAAAAAGATGTTATATCTAATTTAGCCATCAGAATGAATCATTGAGATCATGGGATCCTTTAGTGCTAGTATTTTCACTTTACTGTAATTTATCTAGCTCTCGTCTTCTAAAACAAATTGGATTTAATGGTTTTGGTATTGCATAGACTTTGGAAAATAGAATTCTTTATGTTAAATTGTTAATAATCCTATGGGTAAGGCTGCAGCCGTGCTGGACTGGAGTACTAGCTTAACAGTCTTGCCTTTATTCTTATGCAAACTCTTATGAAGTGGTGGTAAGGAAACAGTTGTTGCTCTTAATTTTGTATCTCTTTCCTTCTTTGTGATTTAATATTCGTGCTCCATTAACCACTAGCAAACCCCTTTGTAAAGTTAAAACAGTCTTCCTCTTTATAGTTATAGTTAACATTCATTCATATTTTATTTATTTGCCTATGTGTAAAGAAATACAAATTGATAAATATAAAAGTGTTTTTTTAATCAATTTGATTACTTGTATTGGTCCTTTCTTCAATCTGGAGCCATGTGTATATATATTCATTTTCTATATTTATTGTTCAAAAGGATTTGTTTTTGACCATGTTGGTTGATAGGATTAAAAAGGAAAAACTAATTTACCTCATTTAATTAAGTTCTGTTTTCTTGCTTTGTCAAAAATGATTTATAGTCTTTTTCTGTTTTAATTTTGCTTTAATATATATGATTATAAACCCATTTCATTGCCTTTGTAAATTCAGGTTGGTATCCCTGTGGTCTCCTCAGTTAGAGTATTGGTTACATTTACAAAGTTTGAAGAATTACAACAAGTAGATGAGTTTGAATCAGCCCCATCAAGTCCTACGGGTGCTGGCCAAGAATACCCAGAAGTGGCACAATCATCATCATCATCATCATCATCATCATGGTTTCAGTGGATAAAGGCACCCTATGCACAATCCAGTTCATCTACTACTGAAGACCAAGTCAAATGCCAAGTGGATCACATGTAATGGTCACCCTAGGAGGTTGTAAGAACCATCACCTCTCCCCCTTGCATGTTCGGCCGCCCCTCTCAACTAAGACAAAGTAATTATCTTTCTCACACTCCACACTCATGCACCATACACCCACCAATGCATATGAGTAGCTTCCTTCACACTCACAAGTCATACTCTCAAGCACACCTAACCTAAGGCAAAATGATGACAAGGCTTGAATAAAAAGGATAGGCAAAGAGCTTTCCCCCCCCCTCACAAAGGCCGTGTAAGACCCCAAAACACAAGACAAAGGATCCCTCTCCTCCTCACACATTAGCTTCGGCCTTGAACTCAAGAGTAAGAAAGAAAAGAAAGCAAAACACTCAAACACTATACCTTCCCTCACTCCTAGCTTCGGCCATGTCAAGACAATAGGCCTAGGATCACCTCAAAATTATTCCAAGATCCCCAACTCCCTTGTCTCCACCCACATAGGTAAGGTAAAGGGTTCCACCTCATTTCTTTTAGTGTTGATTAAGGATACTAAGCCCCCCACTCTCTTTATGTAGAGGAAGATCAAGAAGTTGTTGGAAGCAACTCTCAATCTTAGAAGGCTCCTTGAAGATCAAGTGTGACGCATTGGCTAAGATTTCATCCTAGACATCATCATTAAGCTAAGGTCTTAGGAACCCCTCCATCTTTTCAAGCTAGTAGGAATGAACCCCAACTAATTTACATGACTAGATCTTGGACTAATAAAGCTATGCATGCATCTATCATCCTTGAAATCACCTCCTAAGTATATTATTTCTACAAGGCCGAACCTAAAATGGTATACATGCACCCTATAGTTCTTAGAAACATTTGCTAAGCACCATAACTCTAAATGGCCGAACCCTAATAAGCCTAAAAGGGAAATTGTGAATGTTTTCTTAGTACCATGATGTATGGCCGAAATGTATGCCATAGTATAGGACCTATGCATGAAAGCAACTAGTAAAAAAAATTTCTCCTAGGCATTTTCATCTTAAAGGGGCCGAACATATGTCAAGAAGGAAATCAAGTTTAGATCTTATAATTCTAGAGCTATGTACTAAGGTGGCATATGTGATTAGGCCAAACCGAAGCTTGAAAAGAGATCCAAGACACTAAGACCTTCATTTGGCCGAATCCATCACCTACGGGAAAAATTAACAAGCCGAAAAAGTGTAAGTGATTTACGATTGTTGTAGTGGTTTCCCTATGGTTGCCACCCCTTTATGTTAAAGTGTGGTTTGACTACAATCTGTTGTATGATGTTGTACAGTGATATGTTTGGTTGTTTGGAACTAATATTTTGTTCATGTAAGATTTGTTATGATGGCCTGTGCACTAATACCACAAAGGCAACCCGACGAGGACCCTGGGTATTCGTCCGTAAGACCATGGAGAGTAATTGCCATGGCAGGATTGGTATGATGATATGAAAGCATGATTATTTTCCAAACTATGTTTCAACGTTTCTCCTATTCTATTATTGTATATGTTATTATATGACAGTTGCAGGAGTAAGCATCATGGTTTGGAGGTTACTCCAACTGTGAGTCCTTACTGAGACCCCCAATCTCACCCCTCTTTGGGGAATCCCCCTTTCAGGTAAAAATGACCAAATGGGTAAGACAAGCAAGAGGTTGGTAAGACTTGAAGAGGATACTGCGCAGTCATGTGCAGATAAAGTTGATACTACGCTGTCAATTGTGGATAGAGTTATGAAACTATGTTATGAAGGACAGTTTGAGCAGGCCGACTATACTAAATGGCAAGAAATTTTTGGAGGCTATGATCGCACTGAATCCTTATGGATTGAGTGATGCACTTAAGTTATATTTTGGATGACTGTAATAGATTATGTATTTCGATTACTTTAGACATTTAACCTGCGGTTAAGGTACTATATTTTGGGTGTTTGACTTGAAGGGTTTATGTTTATGGGACTATGCGAGTAAGTAGTAAGACTAAAATGTTTTCAGCCATGTATGGATAATTGACTAAGTTTCTATATCAGAAAGGATTAAGAGGTAGATATGAGATTAGGACTCCACCATGGTGCCTACGACTTTTCAAGGGAACCAAGAAGAGATTAACTTGTAGGAACTGTTTTGTTTTCTCTTTAAGGTAAGAATGTATAGAAGTTAGATCCCAAGATGATTTAGAAATTAATACGAATCGTGACATAATGTACCCTAGCCTTGTGGATAGACCGTAGAAAAAAGAAGAAGAGAAACTCATGACTAGAAAGAGATAAGATTATTAGATAGGAGAAGAAAAAGAACGAAATTAATTCCCCATTAGTAAATCTAAGTTAACCACGCTTAGTATAAGTCTTCCGCGCGTAGTGTGTCAAGCAATGTCAACACCTTTGATGAGTATATATTAAGGGTGTTACATTTAATGGTATCAAAGCAGTTTCTAAGCTTTAAAGTAAAGACTATTCTCTAACCCCTTCCGTTGTTATCCTTGTAGCACTTGTGCAGCATTATGCCACCGCGTAGACCACCTACCCGCAACAATCCTCAAGGTTCCGAGGACATGCAAGGCCAAATCAATACCTTAAGGGATACCATCACACAGATGCAGACAAACGCGGGGGAGATGTTCCAGAATATTCTGAATGAAATAAGACGCAACCCTCACAACACAACCCATAACAACACCGCGAGCGGCTCAGGCACCGGAGGAGCCGGTGGTGGTGGTCCCCAACCGCCCCCGAACCATGGAGCGGCGGGCCAGAATAACCAAGATCTACTGCTGACATTTAGGAAACACAAACCACCCTCATTTCAAAGAGGACATGATCCGATCGTGGCTGTACAGTGGTTACAGGCCATGGACAAAATATTCAGAGTGGTCCAATGCACCGATGATCAAAAAGTGCTATTCTCAGTGTACATGTTGGAAGGAGACGCCCATCATTGGTGGGCTAATGCGTCTCAACCTTTGGAGATGCAAAATGCGGCAATTACTTGGGCAGTATTTGAAGAAATGTTCTTGGAGAAGTATTTCCCGATGTCAATCCGGGACAGCAAGCAAGGTGAATTCGACCGACTCATACAAGGGAACATGATGGTGGACCAATATCACGCTAAATTCAACGAACTACTCCGATTGGCGACTTACCGAGGAACCATGCCCATGCTGGATTTTCTGACGGCAAAATTTCAAAGGGGCCTGTCCGCTAGGATTGCGGAATTGGTAGCTGGAAACGACACCTGTGACATGGCCACCCTGGTGAACCGATGTAGAAAGGTGGAAGCGGTCGGTTTGCAAACTAGGAAGCCTGCAGAGACCAGCGGATCCGGACACAAAGTTCCGATGACTAGGAGCGGACCATTGAGAGGGAAGAGCGGAGGCAGACCATGGCAGCCTAGGCGTGATGACACAAGTTTAAGAGGCCTGGGTATTTCCAAGGAAACAACAACAGGGCTCCCAATTGCCCCAAATGTAGGAAGGCACATTTCGGAAATTGTTTGAGCGGATCGATGAAATGCTTCAAGTGCGGCCAAGATGGACACTTCATCAAAGATTGTCCACAATAGAGGGAACAACAACCAGCTGCTGAGGCACCAAGGATGGGCAGAGACTACATGCTAGATCAACATGTGGCAGACCAGGAAGCCGAACTAGTTAAAGGTACGATCAATATATATGGTGAAGAACCATCTGTTTTATTTGACTCTTGTGCGACCAATTCCTTCATTGCTGACTATGTGGCAAAAGCCTTTAGCTTAACTATGAGCCCAATGCAAGTCACCTCTGCGACGGGGGAAGTGACAGTGTCTCACTTCATATGTAGAAGTGTAGAATTCAGATACAAAGGGAAGAAGTACAACCAAGACTTCATAATTCTCCCCTTAGCCAAACTAAACCTAATATTGGGCATGGATTGGCTAGCTAAACAGCGCGTAGTAATTGATTGTAACAGCCGAAGTATAATGGTCGGTGGGAAATGATGGAGACCAACTCCCCAGTACTTCACCGATCGAATCAAGAGATTGTACTTTCATGCTAATAGCCGGCCTAGTAGGTGCAAGCGAGACACCGCTGATGAACATTCCTGTGGTTAAAGAATTTGAGGATGTATTTCCTGACGACATTACCACCTTTCCCCCTGAAAGGGAAGTGGAGTTCTCTATTGAACTTATACCTGGGACTGGGCCAATCTCAATTGCACCCTACCGCATGTCTCCTCTTGAACTGGTAGAATTGAAGAAGCAGCTAGAAGACTTGATATGGAAGAATTTCATCCGACCCAGTGTGTCCCCATGGGGAGCACCAGTTCTATTTGTAAAGAAGAAGGACGGGTCAATGAGACTTTGCACGGACTATCGGGAACTCAACAAAGTGACTGTCAAGAACAGGTACCCCTTGCCTCGTATCGAGGACTTAATTGATCAGTTAAGAGGTGCGAAAGTGTTTTCGAAGATCGATCTCCGGTCAGGATACCACCAGATCCGAATCAAGCCGGAAGACATCCCTAAGACAACCTTCAGATCAAGATACGGACACTACGAGTACCTGGTCATTCCCTTCGGGTAGACTAATGCCCCGGCAGTATTCATGGGCTACATGAATCAGATCTTCCAACCTTACTTGGATCGATTCGTGGTCGTATTCATCGACGACATACTAATCTACTCGAAGAGCAAAGAAGAGCATGAAGAACACTTGAGAACTGTGCTACATATATTGCGGGAGAAACAATTATATGCGAAACCGTCGAAGTGCGAATTCTGGTTGCCAGAGATCCAATTTCTTGGACACGTAATTTCAGATAAAGGAGTAGTAGTAGATCCCAGTAAGATCGAAGCAGTAGTAGACTGGGAACGACCAAAGACTGTCACGGAAATAAGAAGCTTCCTTGGGCTAACAGGATATTATCGAAGATTCATAGAAGGATTCTCAAAGAGGGTGTTGCCACTCACCCGATTAACAAGAAAGGAAGTCCCCTTCGTATGGACTCAAGAATGTGAAGCTTGTTTCCAAGAGTTAAAAAG